TTTCTTTTTCAATTCCCCAATAAATATTATATCTAAATAATAACATATAACAAACTGGCCAATACAAAGCAAGGAATATAACTTAAAAACATTTATAAGCTGACTTGAAAATTTACTGAACTTAAAACAAATTTGTTTAATCTCAATATATCACTCAGTGTTCACCCGCCATCTGCAAATTGGTGACCAAAACCTCCGGCAGAATAATTTGGCGCTGGACGATGGTCCGAAGCTCTGCCAAACCGTGATAGCTGGCGGGACAAGGTGACTTTTGTAGGCTCAACAGCATCAAAGCATGAGATTTAGCAGTAGTAGCAGTAATCTCAATAAAAAAAATGTCACAAATTCAAAAGCCGTACAAATAAAAATCAATGCAAAAAAAGTAAACTTTACATCAACCACAGAGACAGAATATAAACAATCCCGAAAGACAAAATCCCCCCTAGGCTCATCAATAGGAAAAATGTTGTTCTCCTTCATGACAACACGACATGCACATTTATAAATCTAGCAGCTGCAACATGTCCATAAAATTTAGTCGAAAACCACCCTGGCCTCACCAATATAAAAAAAATTTGGTTCTCCTGCATGACAACACTACATATACATTTATACATTCAGCAGCTGCAATGTGTCCCGGAACTAAAACATCAAAAGCACTTTAACACCAACAATATATTTTTGTGCCACTGAAACCTTGTTGATCATAATTTTGATATGAAAGTGCTGTTTTAATAAGAGATAATGTTAGACTGAGTCATAAATAATTTCCGTTTTGGGGAATCAATTGCACTGACAAATGTATCATCCTAGCTAATAATTATAAGAGGCAGTTAATAAACTTCGTGTACACCAACATACAATGGCAATGGCAGCGCAGACAGTGAATTAAAGGATAACTATTGTTCTCCATAACAAAGAATATCTCTGGAAAAAACATTGCACATTCGTTGTTCTGTTCTACCCAGCCTAGATATTCGCCTCACCTTGCACAAACCAATTATTACCTTCTTCCATTGCCGAAAAAACTTTTGTGGGGAAAACTTTCTCAAACGAAAACCAAATTCAAGAGTTCGTCGAATACTTTGTCATATCGAAACCTGAGGAATTTTACTCAAAAAGTATCAAAGAGTTGCCTCATAAATGGTAAAGCGTCTTTGTAACTAATGGTGAATATATAATTGAATAACATAAAATTTTACTTTTTTTTAAGAATAAACTTGAGAAACAAAAATTGAAATTACTTTTTCTTCTTCAGTACGTAGGCGATCATGGCTCTCCACAATTTCCTGTCCCTTGTAGATCTTAATAAATTTTATGTTTCGGATATTTCTCCCAAAGCCTTTCCCTCCACAAGTACGTTATGCGTTGTTTGCCTCTGTCTTTCTTGCTTTCAATGTGTCCTGTTAATATCAGATTGTCAAAGCCCTCTTTCCTCATTATTATTAAAAACATCAACTGTCCCTTCCTGATGGTAAGTATAAGTTTCCATTTTTCTAAAATTTCGTCGTTGCTAACATGTTAGGGCAATGTTTACTCAGCATCCTTCTGTAGAGCCACATCTAATAATCCATTCAGACGAAAATACATTGAAAGTGTTAATTTATGGGTCCCTTCAGATTTATAACCGACGTAGCTACTTCAATATATTAGTATTTCTTACTAAATTAAAACTGAAACAATGCGGGGTATTTAAAACACTGTAAGGATTACCCCACCTTGTCTGCCAAGACACCTGCTAGGTGGTGTTCTATTCAGGACTTTAAAAGAAATGGACATAGACCCTCTTCCTCCGAGACAATAACAGGACTTCTCTCCGCCGGAAAAAGATTTCTTTCTTCCGGCAAGTCAACTATTTAATTTCAAACAAGCCACGTGGGCATACATTCACACGCGTGCGCACCCATACTACGGCTACGTATGAAAATGTTTTATTTGTTTGAGCTGTCTGTATCCATGTGATTATAATTTTCTGATTCTCTTCTTTTGTGAGCTATGTTGTACTGTAAAAACAGAAATGAAAGTGTTGGAATTCATTTATTCTTAGAGTTTTCATCTTCATCAGCAACAATCGTAACTGCCGCCACCACAGATTGCAGCGGAAGGAGTTATGCTACAACATAAAATATAAATGAGTTAAAGTAAAATTCGTATAAAAGTACAGTTATTTTTTTTTTACACTCTTTTTTTCGTTGTTGTTTTATTGTTTTTGTCGTTTTTTAATTTATTTTTATTTTTTCTGTCGTCATCTTATTGTCAATTTAAATATTCTCCAAATTGTCTTGTATATTTTCCATTCTGACGGATTTCATCCAATAAAAAAACATCACGTTGACGTGACAACGCACAAACTCCGAAGTCATTCCAAAGATCTACACTTTTCGCAACGACTTTGAATGACATATAATTTTTTTTTTTTTTTTTTTTTTTTTTTTTTTTGATAATGGCTGATACTAGTGAAAAGGTCGAATCTTTAATAAGAGCCAACACAAATTGTGGACAGTTCATTTATACTTTCGAAACTAGCATACGGAAACGAATCCGGCCAATAAGAAAAACTTATTAGGAAATATAGTAGACATAATTTGTCTTTAACAAAACTTGTTCGAATTTAACATTTGCTGTCGAGATACACCCAACAGATGTGTGGAATGGGGGGGGGTCTTTCTACCCACTTCTTTTTTTTTTTTTTTTTTTCGACTCTTTTCATCTCTTTTTGTCAGCCTTCTGTCCGTCTGGTGAGTTGGCTGACTGGCTTATCCCCCCTCTCTCTCTCTCTCTCTCTCTCCCTCTCTCTCTCTCTCTCTCTCTCTCTCTCTCTCTCTCTCTCTCTCTCTTACAGACACTTCTCTATTTTATTTCTCTCGGCTTTCTTGCCTCAACTCTTTTTCTCGACCATTACATTTTCTCTCTTTCCCTCTGACTCTCTCTATTTGTGATAGAGACTTTTCCTATTCAATTTTCTCTCAGCTTTCCAACCTCATCTCTTCCCTTTCAACTTTCCATTCCCATCTCTCTCTCTCTCTCTCTCTCTCTCTCTCTCTCTCTCTCTCTCTCTGATTCTGTCTTTCTCTCTCTCTTTGATAGACACTTTTTCCTTATATTTCTTTTCCTCACGGCCTGCTCTCCTCATTAATTTTTTTCTTGAATTCTTATTACTCTCTCTCTCTCTCTCTCTCTCTCTCTCTCTCTCTCTCTCTCCTCCCTCTGATTCTCACTTTCTTTCTCTCTTTGATAGATATTTTTTCTTTCTATTTAATTCTATCCCGGCGGGTTCTCTTCATCTCTATTTTTTCTTAACTTTTTCTTGCATCTCTCTCACACTCACTCACTCACTCACTCACTCCGTTCTCCCATCGCCATTCCCCCTCACATTATTGTCTCTATTTTACTCTAGCCTTTACTTCTCCCAAAATACAAATTGCCTGATGTTTCTTTTTCTTTTGATTCCCCGTTCGAATAAAACGAGAGTTACTGTTAACCATAAAGCAGCAAATTGTGTTGTTTTTTGACGACAGAAAATCGTTAACTACTGGATAAGCTGTTTGGATTACATATAATGTGTCATCCATCAAACTGACATTATTATAAAATAGTATAAAGTAATACACAATGACGGCTTTTAAATAACAAACTATACCTTTCATAAATTTCTATGAGACTAAATTTTGTCTATGCCCACCCTTCATTACATTAGTAGTAAAAACGGGCCAGACTGTACCGCTAGTGTTACTGTTATGGTAGTTTTCTAAGAGTAACTTAGACGTGGCACAAGGCCGAAAGTATGGAGTGGGATTCACACTCACTACTTAGTCGTAATTGATATAGCGAGGCAAGCTTGCTAACCATTATACGACGTCGAAGTACCACCATTAATGTAATGAGATTTATTCTGTGAAATACAGAAATGTGGCACAGAACCAAAAGGGAGATTAGGAAAGCTCGTCTTCTTTTGTCTTATAATTAAACTTAGCTAGACACAATTACTTATCCAAACATACCACAGTATTACTTACACAAAAACAACACATTCTTAGTACAGCCACCATAATACCTCACAGTCTCTAATGTATTACTCTGGCTATCAGCCTTTTATATATATTACTAAGTAATGGAATTTACAACATAAGCGGTGATATTTAATTTTCATGAAAAATAAATCATATTTTAATAAATATTTCATCTTTGTTATTTATTTTTAATTAAAACTTTAAAAATTCCCATATATAAACAATGATTATGTTAATAAAGTTTGTTTTTTTAATTCGTAGTGTTTATACAGAAAGAATTTATATGCACCTTATCAAAATCTAGTCGGAAGTTAGCCGAAAAATATCAGCGTGTTTACATTTAAAGAAAACGTAAAATAAATGTAATATCAACTTTTAAGAATAACATTTTATTTTATTTTCTGTTGTGTTGTCGTTTGACATTTCACATTACCATAAATTAGTCGAGTTGAACAGAAAGATTTTTAAAGAATTTTCTAAATTCAAAATAATCTATTTAACTAGATTTTCTTAAAACTACCAAATTCTTTAAACAATTTAAAAATAGTAAGTTTATTAAAATAATCTTTAATATTATTATTAATACAAATATTAGAAAAATATTCAAATGTTTCGCTTGTGTTCAGCTGACACTGTGTACTATTACTAATTGTGAACAATGACGTAAACACATTTTCAAATATTTGTAGATACAAAGTATAGATAGTTCTTTAAGAAGTTGATTGATTTATTCATTTTCTAAGACTTATCAACCCTTTACAGTTTATTTAAATCCACAAAATAACTTTGGATTGTAATATTTTTTTAGATAATAATGAATTAGTGATACAAGTTTTATTAATTACATCATACCTTGAGGGAGAAGAAGTGGATTCATACCTTTCCTAAGCATATTTGATCGTGAATATGACGATCCCAACGAGAATTGTAACTAGTCACTCCAATTAACAATTGTGTATCATTCGCCATTACACCATCCACACATCCAACCTTACAGCACCTGGTATTTCCAAACGGTCATCCATCTAGGTACTGGCCAAGCTTGAAGTTGCTTAACTTTGGTGATTGTACAAGAACCGGTGTTTAAACGAGATGTGGCCATAAACCTCTTTAAGAAGTCAGGGACTGACTTGAAACTGTATTTATATTCTAAACAGGATTACTCCTTCATTTTATAAAAAATCAATATTTTTTCGGCTCTGACAAATGTCGTGGGTAAAGGAAGGTCAAGTACTAATCTGCAAATTATTCCCAAACTGTCCCCCTCTTTTTTACGAGTAGACTGGTCAACGTAAGTAGTATCGTGTAAAGTAACGATGTAACAATGACAGCTTTATATCATTGAGAATCAACTGTGTTTCAACGGGGGGTAAGGAAACTCTTCGGTCTGGCCTTTCACTTGAGTTTAAGAAACCCTCCACCCAGTGATACTCGATTGAGGTGTGGGGTAATGTTAAAGGGTGATGCTTTTAGAATCTTGAAATCACCATTGTTCGCTATTCCCCCCCCTCCGGCTGATTGCAAACTCTTACAAGTCGATGGCCCAGAACAGGTGCCCCCACCCCTGACCAGCCCTCACTCAACTACATTTCAATTTTCATAAGGTAATATTCATATAAAATACAAATTTTATTGTAATCTAATTATGTATAATAATAAATCATATGCAATATAGGTAAACAATTCAACTAAAAAGAATTAAATACTAAATACAAGTTACAGACCTGTCATAATAGATAATACCATCTCAAATAAAATACCAATATTTTGTAGTAATTTTTAACATCAACTTGAGATTTTTGAAAGTTAAAACGTGGAATAATTTAACACATTCAACATTAAAAAATTGTGAATTTTATATCGTATTTCTCGAGACTTAGCATGAGCAAAAAAATTCACAGATTTGGATGAAAAAAGGCCTCAGAATGACGTCAAAATCTCCAACAAATTTTCCTCCTTCAATAGTCAATTGTGCTTAGTTTAATTTGTAACGTATATAAATATAATTAGAAAAAACGCAAATGTTGATAAGATAGCAAGGGTCACAAAGCACTTGGTCGGAACCCCCAGTTAGGCCAGGGAGCTCATGTGTTGCACGCGCCGGCCCTGAACCAGAGGTTACCTCATCTGACTTTGAGTAACTTTCATCATCTTACAAGTACTATCCTCACGAATGTCTAATCTTCTGGGAGATGAGTGTTTTTCGCTAGACAACATCTATACAGATTACTAAAGAGCTAAAGTTTACCACCGGCAGAGGAGATACGAGGTTAATTCTACCGGAAGTGAAACCAGATATCAAAACTAAGAGACTAAAAGTCCCAAAAAATTCACTCGCTGATGTCCCCATTGAGTAATCCAAAAAATGATTTGACTCAAAATGATGTGAGTAAAGAGACTCAGTAAAATATGAGAATGAAGTGCGATTTGACTGGAATATATTCATAAATTATCACAAAATATTCTAGATTGCCAAAAGTCATAGCAAAGCAATTTCTGAATGCATTAGCAAGTTGGATATAATGGATAATAGCTAGGAAAGAGAAATCAAAGAGCCGAGTTCTAATTTCAGAATGGTTCATTACATTCACTTACGCGCGAATACCCTCGGGAAAGGTATGAATCCCTCGCGGAGATGGATTGATACCTTTCACGTGTCTTAGATAATATAAACAATCACAAAGAGAACTGATCTTTGGCTGACAAGATGACTTCGGATATTTGAGAAGGTGAAAGACAGATTATAAAGTTCATCTTATGCATCTAGCCAGTATACATAGATGGGTACTCCAACTTTATCCTCTCCTAATGCAATAAAATAAAATCCCCATAAAAACGTATATCATATTCATCTGCAGAAATGCAAAGATTAACAGCTATAGATTCAAAACAAAATCAACTAAATGCAACACTAGATATTTCAACAAAAAATATCTCGTAGATAGCACATGAACCCACTCCTCTAGATCAAAAGGAAATAAGCCTAAATATCATTTTAATTTGTTTTTATACTTTTTTTTATCGGATAGCGATATATAAATTTTATATATCAAGAACTATTTTGGGTAAAAGATGTATGACAGATTGGAAAAGGTTTTCGTTTGGCGCGTTTCCACCTTTATGAATTCATCGGACAAAGTTTTTGTTTACGTTGATGCGATTACACAAACGCGCAACCGACAGATGCTAGGAATTTTTCTTTGATTGATATATATATATATATATATATATATATATATATATATATATATATATTATGAAACTGATAATGTGAATGTACGTGAGAGAATCATGGAAGATTGTAGTTTAAAGACAGTAAAATCGACCTTGCTAACCGAACGCTCCTCTGTGGCCGAAACGGTTAAGGCACGTCAGGCTATATGACGGTTCCGTATAGGATACTGGTTCGAATCCTGTCAAAGGACAAATATTTTCTATGAAAATTTCTCGGACATTCAGGCCGGTAAATGTTGTTTAATACTGTTTATTATAAACAGAGTATTTACTTAAATATTTGTATCTATAAAAAGAATGTATAAACATAAAAATGTCTTAAAATCTAGATATATATATATTATGAGTTTTGAATATATAATCTAGCCGATTTTATTTGGATTTTTTTTCATCACTTTTGTTAACATCACATTTTTAATAGAAAACCACTTAAGGTAAAGGGCTATTAAATGAGGTTAGTGTAATAGTGTCAAATTAGGAAGTTAAAAGTGATTATAATGAGGATATTGTTGTAGAGTAGTTTTCACAGTGGAGGCTTGTATTTCAACAAGTCGTCCTAAATTAGGTTCGACGTACAAAACGTTAGGAACTTGGAAATAAGAGTTAATGACGCAGCAATCTAGTTGTGATGGTTGGTACTTCAATGTCCGATATCGACTGACTCGCTCAGCACCACTGAGTATTTATCGTTCCACCCACGAGGACCGAATATGGCACAAGGCCGGTTTTAATATGGGTATCCCCGAGCCCGTAGGCCCTGCCAAAAATATAGCCTTTGAACCCGCCTAGACGGGTTCAGGCCCTGTCTACCTCCCCGGACGAAACCTTGCCCTTCGGCAAAGCCTCGTCCGGGTTCCTCTCTGCTAACGCAGAGAGTTCGACAGGAGGCGTGCGCAGTCAAAGACCGCAAAACACCACTGAGTATTTATCATTTCACCCACGGGAAACGAATATGGCACAAGGCCGGTTTTATTGTGAGTATCCCCGAGCCGGTAGGCTCGGCCAAAAAAATAGCCTTTGAAGCCGATTAGACGGGTTCAGGCCCTGTCTACCTTCCCGGACGAAACCTTACCCTTCGGCAAAGCCTCGTCCGGGTTCCTCTCTGCTTACGCAGAGAGTTCGACAGAATGCGTGCGCAGTCAAAGACCGCGAGACGCAACTGAGCCGAACTGTCCACTGCTACTACTACTTATTATCTGTGGGAGAGTCTATTAATAATAGAATAGGTACGTCAGGTATAACAGATATGTACGATGGATAACAGTTGACTCCACATTTAAAGATATTAAGAACTTAGTGGTCGAGGGAAGTATCCTCTGGGGAGATTTCTTCCATAAAACAGAAGAGTTCTGAGTGGAACTTTTTCCATATCAATACAATACGAAGCGAATGAAGATGTTTGGACCCTGTGTACGTGGCATGGTGGGTCCTAGGTGTAAAGGTTTCAACTGGGAGAATGAAGAAATGAAACTCGACTTAAAATTTGCCATGGAAATAGCGTTAAAGTAATAAGAGGCTAACAACTTTTCGACTGTGGGAAAGGGGTTGTATGGTTGAAAATACAAGCCTGCGTAAGTGTTTTTAATGAGAATTGGGCAGCTTCGGCCCAGATATGGTATATGATAACGATCCACTTTTGATCTGATCTGACTCTTGTAAAGATAGAGCATGGCAGGAGTTTGGTACTTTCTAGAGTGGTATAAAAATCAGGCCAATTGTCGATAGATCATATGTACGAATTCCAATTGAGGCCTGGTTTTAAGATTGATTTGTTTTTTACGGCTTATGAACCTTCTGCGGATTATTTAAAGCCAGAAAATATTTTTAGATTGCACGAATTTATTGGAGTTAATAACGATTTACCGATACAAGAAAAGGTGGATTCATATTTTTCTCATGTAGTATTTGCGCGTAAAGGAATATAACAAACCCGATTGGAAATAGAAATCGGCTCTCCGATTTACAATTCCAAACTTTTATCTACTAACACCATCCGCACATCCAAGTTTACAGAACCTGGTATTGCCAAATAGTCACCCATCTAGGTACTAACCAGACACGACGTTGTTTAACTTCGGCGAACGTACGAAAAACCGTGTTACAACGTGAGATGGTCGTAAGACGACTTGATGCCTGGAGTGAGTTTGATTACCAACAGACGTTCAAGACAACGAGCCTCGTTCTGAATGCAACCATTCATCATGACTAAAATTGGATTCTACTAATTAAATTATGATAGAAAATTATACAAACTGAAAATGTACATGAGATAGGATGATAGCGAAATAGAGTGAGCAAACTATTACTTCCTCGTATATATATATATATATATATATATATATATATATATATATATATATATATATATATATATATATATATATATATCACGCTATTCCTCTTAGGATGTAGACGATCATTGTTCCCCACTGACACCATTTTTTTATATCTGAATTACGATGACATCTTTGAAAAGACAGTGGATCGTTTTCCTGTTGTAATCAAGGTTTTGAATACGGAATTCTCTTTGAATTCTGTATTCAAAACCTTGATTACAACAGGCAGTCTTGGGTAGTGACAAGTCCTAGACTTGACACTACGCAAGAATAGAGATCCCAGCTTATTCTACTATTTAATCTATAGATGAGGGATGCCGAGATTCAATATTTTTCTCAGAGATGCTAGTACGAAAGTGAACACAACAGACTTTGCCGGAACTTGAACTCGAATAGAAAATTCCTTTTTCCATGCTGATAACTGCTACGTTACCAGCACGTCACACATACACACACACACACACACACATATATATATATATGTGTGTGTGTGTGTGTGTGTGTGTGTGTGTGTGTGTGTATGTACATTTCT